CAGTTCTCTTTCACATTTGTAGTGAATTGCTTTTTATGCCAAAATATGGCTACTTTTAAAGAAATTCTTTGCCGTAGTCAACTTGAAAAATCTGCCAACCCTTCTTAGCTCCTTCCAGCTCATTTAAAAGCTCAGCTGAAAGCTTCCTTATTCTTCATGTCTGCTTCTGCAGACAGAGGGGAAACAAACTCCAAAAGAATGTTGTTCCATTCCCAGGACCCTGTTATGCAACCATAGAAGAGAAACCATATTAGCAAAAATTTAATGCAAGTGGATACACACATTAAACTATTCTGCAAGAGTCTGTGAGGGTGAGGAAAGACACTAAATCTCCCACTGCACTCCATTAAACTATATCTCAGTATTTTAAAAGGAAGCCAAGTGTAAGCTGATAAATTTATACCATTAGTCTCAGAAGAAAAATGCACTCTATACCCAAGACCTTTAATGTTCTTTCCTCAAGGCACAATTTGATAATCATAACAAAGATAGGAAAAACACAAAATAATTGTCCTGAAAAAGTGTTGCTTAAAATCCCTGAAAGCTTTTTTGCTACCTCTGTTAACCAGCTGAGGAAAAACACATCCTTCGTCATGACCCACTCACTGCCCAATCATCTGAAAGGCAGAAATGCATCAGTCCTGCCACAGTGAGAGGCTTGTACACTTGACATCAAAGCCTGTGAGTCACTTAGGCTTCTAAAGCCTGGCATGAGCCCTTCAGAAAAGGGAATATTAATAATTAGACTAAAAGGATCTACTATGATCCATTAATACTCAACTATATTTATGGCTGAGTGATAAAGACTGGCAGGAACTTAGCTGTTTAGACAAACATGTGGACAGGATAGGCATATCAAATCAACCTCTTAGGATCTCTTTTTCTTGTGTTATTAATATTTTTTTACTATAACTCTATAAGCAATGCTTTACTCTAAAAGTGTCCCAATATCTGGGGTATTTCAGAATGTGGTGGGGATTTGACTGCCCCTGTTGGAACATTTACTTCACCCAACTATCCCAACCTATACCCACATAATCGAGTGTGTGAATGGAGGATCACAGTGGAAGAAGGCCGACGTGTGACTCTAACCTTTAATGATATGAAAACTGAAGAACACTGGAGGTGCTCATCAGATTATGTGGCTGTGAGTATTGGGCATGAAGGCAGAAAATGATCTTCCTAATCCCTTTATGGAGCATTAGTGGATGTAATAGAGCCAAAATACAATTTATAGGTTTACATCTGGTTTTAAGACAAATCATAATTTTATCCAGGGAAAACAGAATAATAAGAGAAAGTTAGCTCTGTAAAGTGTCTAAACTCATCTGCTTGTTTTAGAATGTGGTCCAGGCAGATCAGAGGACTTGAAGAAATCATTGGAATTGGCTCTTTATTGATTATGGAAAAAAGCTCTGGGGTTTTTGAAAGCTTTCAATGTCTCTTTTCTGTACACACAAAGTCCATCAGTCAGTTCCAGGTCTATTTTGCCTTTGAAGGTTGCTACTGCTGTTGTAACTTATTGTTGTCAGTTTAAAAAAAAAAAATAAAAAGAAAGAGAGAAAGCCAGAGATTGCAACAAATTACTACGACTGGGTTGGACCTTGTGTATTCTGAAAGAAAGATAGGCAAAACCCAGAAAATTCTACCTCTTTATTACCCTCATCTCCAGAAAGGTAGATACTGCATATTTTATAATGCTTATTTTAGATTTATGATTTTTTACTGAAAAAAAAAAAAATCAAACCTGGCACATAGAACCAGACCTGGTTAGATATACAAATGCCTCAAAAATATGATTCCTCTAAGAAATGCAGGAATGGGAGGTCTAGTTTAGTTTCCCATTCATTCAGAATAACAGTGCAAACACAGGAATTAGCTTCAGTACGATCAGAAGCTAGCCCATGCACAAGTGTGAGGGAGTCAAGTAGCTCTCCCTTGTGATTTGTAGATGATGCTTCCCTTGTTCCCTGCTTCACAGATGCTTTAGACAGACCATGGGGAGCTGGCTTTTTATCAATTAATGAAGTAACAATCTCTTAAAGGAAGATCTGTCCTGACAGCTTTTGTGCCTTCAACACTCTAACATAGTCCGAGTCTCAGTGGGAAACATCATTTTTGCCTTGCTTGCACTGCTGAGCTATTAGTAGAAAGAAGGAAATTAACTCCTAGGCTAAAGGCTGTATGAAAGAAATTGAGCAAAATACCTCTGGATCATCAAAAGGTGAAATGCCTGAATTAATAAAAAATGCCCACCAGCACTCAGTAATGTTGGAGGAGATTTCTATAAAGCTGATGTTGGCTTTAAGAAGAATACAAAGATGATAATTTGAAATGCAATGAATATGATCAGTAGCTGGCATTATTAAGTTATTGAAGATAATATTGAGCTAAAATACAGTATTTTTCCCAATAAAACTGTTTAAATTTCTGTTTTTAAAAAGAAAAAATAAAAAGAGAGAGGGCATATGGTTGTGTTTCACCAAAATAGACAAGGTATTTTTGATATTTTACTTCAGAGCCTCATTGACTCAAGACAATGGAAGTTCATTCCAAGGTTCTGAGTGGATTTGGGAACTAACCTGCTGTGAGGGACATAAATGAACCTTGTATTAAAGATGTGAAGCACTGTTAAATGATACAGGAGATGCTCATAAGACTGTATTTTGAACTCATAAGAGTTTACTTTGACTCAACAGGTTTACAATGGCCTCAGACCGAACTCTCCTCGGCTAGCCAAGCTGTGTGGTGAGGTAAATCCAGGCACTGAAGTGAAATCATCTGGAAACACAATGAAAGTCATTTTGGTGACAGATATGTCCCGTGCAACCAGAGGTTTCAGTGTCTCATACACATCTAGTGAAGATGCAGGTAGTGTGTGGTTTTGAATTAAGTGGTTGTTCTTTGGTGAGGCATTTCATACCTAAAGTACTGACACATGTCAAAAAATGACCTGAACAGATAATAAATCTCTGATACCTTTTCTTCACTCTTACATCATATGTATGTTCAATTAGTTGAAATAACTTGAAAAAATTGAGAATCTCTGAGACTTATGGACTTCATGTGCCTGTTATATCAAACTTCAGATGGAAAGAACAATCTTCTGTTATGGATCACAGTCCTTACTCTTACTACTGATTTATCATTTTGTACTTAGTCTTGAGTAAGAGATGGTCCGAAGTGGCCTTATTCCATGAAAAGATCCAAAAATCATAGTGCTATAGACATATTGAATAATTCAGTGCTTCCTTATTACTTAGGGGGGTAATTAATTTATTGTAGCTTGTGAAAGACTGCAGCTAACCTCCTTTTGCAAGCTCAGCCTCCAGAGAGGAGGCAGCTGGCAGAGGCTTACTATTACAGTTTTGTGTCTTTTGAACCTGATTTTCCAACTCCCCCCCAAACATCCTACTGTAGCATTAGTTTACTGCTTTTGAGGGTATGTTCCAGAAACGTCTTCCCTTGAGTTTAGAGTTAGGTAATGGGTAGGGCTGAGCAATACTGACCTGGAGCTGCAGTGGGATTTTATAAAAATGTTAAATAATGCTTGTATTGATGGCACTGCTGAAATACTTCATTTGATACTGTGTGCAATAGTTGTTTCTTTGCTTTAGATGTGTGTTTTTAAAGACTTGCCAATAAATTCCAGGACACTAGGAGAGAATTCTCTTATACACAGCAGTAACTTATAAAAAAGGGAGAAGATGGACAAAGTTTTGATCTAATCAGCACATATTCTTGCTGACATGAGCATATTTGAATAAACAAGGGCAAGATTTATCTTCATACAAGAAGTATTACTATTTTAAAATAAATTATATTTTGTTCTGCAGTTTGTGGTGGAACCCTGATGACACATGCAGGTGGGAATTTCTCTTCTCCTGCTTATGATGGCATAAAAAATTACACAAGTAACCTGAACTGTGAGTGGACCATTGAAAACCCCTCCCACTTTAATTCATCCATATATATGTCTTTTGAGGATTTCCACTTGGAACATCACCAGGACTGCCAGTACGACTACCTAGAGTTACAAATAGGTTGGTATGTTCAGCGAGTGAATGGATAAAGCCCATCAAGATTCTGTTTGTGCAAATGTGTTTGTGCCAAATCTTGTTCATATATATTTTCAGACAGTGATTGTTGTAGGATCATGCAAGATTTGAGTGTTCACATGCAAGCCTTCCATGTTGCCTCCTAGACTAGGAGTGGGATTTCACTACCAGAGCAATGGATGCATGGCTTTGGTCACCCTTTCTTTCAGGGGAAAAAATTGAAAACTGGATAGGTATCTTGGGGGGATAAATTGTGGTGGTTGCAATACATACCTGACTCTCTCTTTACAAGAGACAATACGAATTTCACTTCATCTCCCTTGAAAGATGGCAGTCAGAAGAAGCTGGAGTCATCAAAACTATTTAATTGGTTCACAGCCTGTTCTCT